TATAAACCAGTCTACGCTTTTCTACAAGAGAAAACAAAAGTTAAAGACTCTGAGTGATTAAAGAGGGTTTTTCTTAATAGAACTATTCGCTTTCTTGCTTTGTTGCAACAAATTCATTATTCGGACTGCATATTTATGGTTGAATTATTTGTATACCTACTGGTATTAACGATATAAGTAGGTATTTTCTTCACTTCTATATATCTCTTTCGCGAAAATTAATTACGGTAGGTCAAAAGCAACCTTGACCATGCAGCATTGTATAGAATTCCACGAGATTATCACGTATTTTTGACCTACGTTATTAAATAGTTAGGCTAAATCTCCTACGACATAATATTTAAAATTTGTTTTCATGATATTATATATTTTCATGAATCTATTTGCCCATTTTTTTTTTACGAATACAGACAGTTTAATTATGTGGCACATCGTATACAACTTCGCTTATGGTTTCAACTGATTTTATCAAGAAAATATTCAAATACGGCCGTTGAAATCTCCATTTATAAAAACAAGAAATACACAAGAAAACACTCTTTATCGATCACATTTTTAAAAGCAAATTGCTATTCATATATTGATGCATTTCACCTTGGATTACAACAGTGCCAGAACTGCTACTGCGGGGGGGGGATCTCAAAAGTCATAATCTACAGCCATTTTACGTCCAAAAATTCGAGAACGAAGTCATTTTCGCTTTCCTAACAGAAGAAAGCGAAGTTTACAGTTCTTAGGCGACTTTTTCGCCCACTTCGCTTGGTAACATGACCCATGTGTATATGTATGTATATATATATATATATATATATATATATATATATATATATATATATATATATATATATATATATATATATATATATATATATATATATATATATATATATATATATGTACATGCTTGCATATCCATCCATCCATCCATCCAACCTACCTACCTACCTACCTACTTACCTACCTACCTACCTACCTACCTACCTACCTACCTACATACCTACATACATACATACATACATACATACATACATACATACATACATACATACATACATACATACATACATACATACATACATACATACATACATACTTTAGTAAACACTTATTCATTATTGTTTCACATCATTCTTTGGAAATCTATGATTATAACTTATAGGTGTATTCATATACAATACTAGCAGAATTATTTATTTAAATTATTCGTTTGAATTACAAAGTGTTCATTGATATTTTAGACAAATCTCTCTCTTGATATAACTAAAGACGCAGAGACAGTCTAGATTATATAATTGTAATACATCAAGACACTGAAGACAATTAGAACTTATTTGGAATATGCAATACATTGGACCTGTGATATGATATTATAATTATTTGGAGAGTTATCCACAACACTGTACGTTCCTCTTAATTTTAACCTTTATAACCTTGAAAATTAAATTGTGTCTTGAACTTCGCTCAGATTGTTAGTTTCAATTCATTGCTAGAGTGGTAACAGTGTACTGTTGGTACCCACTTATCATGTAGCTTTAAACAGTCAGCTAAGATCTCGAATGATTCTTTTTGGGCCAAGTTAGTTTCATAGAGTCTGATAGATAACGTTTGCCCGTCGCTGGTAGATTCTATCTAGTGATTGCCTAGAAAGGGTTTTGATCAAAAGCTCTATGTTTAAGGTATCATTGCTGACGATGCCAATGAACAAAAGAAATTCTAAGGACAGTACCCTACAACAAATTTTCTTCGATGTTGGATCGTAATCCAGTGGTAGCTGTGCATGTGTTGACTTCAATACGTGATATGGGATTCATAGCTATGCTTCTTTTAACAGCTTGATTGATGTCTCAATGTTTTCGTTGATGTGGGCCATCAAAATGGGAAACGGTGCTACGTCAAAGAACCAACATTTCTAAACTAAGTCCATGATTATTTTTTCTTCTATCGGTAGTTGATCCATCACTGCTGCCTGAGTCATCATCAGCAACCAATGCTAGACTTCAGCAAAGTTTTGCGTTTCCACATCCCAGAAGAATCTAAGTGTGTGATCTTGGCTTATTTTGCGTTAAGTCCGATTCTCCAGGTATTCTAGATAAGGGTAAGTGACCATGCTGTTGCAGAAGAGTAGGAATCCATTTTATTAAAAATGAAAGCATGAAATAACTGACAAAAGCCATTCTAGAATTGGCAGCGGGATTAATATTGTTTGTTTTGATGACTTCAACTTTGAGGTGCAGGTCAATTGGTTTGCCCTGTCTTTTCAAATTCAGTGGCAGCTGACATCGTAAAAGAAGAAATAGTATGTATGTATGTATGTATGTATGTATGTATGTATGTATGTATGTATGTATGTATGTATGTATGTATGTATGTATGTATGTATGTATGTATGTATGTATGTATGTATGTATGTATGTATGTATGTATGTATGTATGTATGTATGTATGTATGTATGTATGTACATGTGTGTGTATGTATGTATGTATGTATGTATGTATGTAT